GACTCAGAGTTGCAATGTTGATAGCAGCGAAATATATTTTAGAAGCGGGTAAATAAAGCAGGGACACAAGCAGTTATCTTTGTTTCTCTACTTGAGAGTAGTACAGTTCTCTTATACTTCCCAGAGATTTTAAATATAACCAAACTAATTACAAATACTCAAGAATCAAGCAAGAGACCTCCAATGCTTAAACCCTCAAGTAAGAGACTTATATAATCAAGTATATAAGCAAGATACTTTCAATGCTCAAACCCTCAAGTAAGAGACTTATATGCTCAAGCACACAAGCAAGAGACTTCCAATGCTCAAATTCTCAAGTAAGAGACTTATATGTTCAAGCACACATGAAAGAGACTTCAAGTGCTCAAGCACTAAAGCAAGATATTTTTGACTCTATAACAATCTGTTAAGAGATTTGGGTAACAACTGCACTTGATATACAGTCAGAGGTGTAGACAACATACAACTTAGAAAAAATATAAGACTTAAGAACTTCTAAAATACACAAAGTGTTAAGATGTTCTAAGTCTAGCAAATTTGACAGAGTGACTTCTCTTTAAAATGTCAAGTTTCAAAGTCTTGTATTGCACTCTATTAGTCTTCTTCCTCAAACCCTTCAACTCCTTATATAGAGATAAGGAAAAGAGATGTTGGAAGACTTTCACCAAAAAATTGGGTAAAGTTTGTACTTGATTGGACACATCAAAGAAGTAGCTTTCTGCAAGAGGAATTATTGTTTGAAGCTTAAACAACAAAGAAGAGATTTTTCCTTAAGTCTTCATGTGAACAAAAAAGACTATGAGTTTTTCATGGTAGCCTCAATCAAAGAGAACCCAAGTTTTGATCTTTTTAGAGTCTGCTTCCTGACTTATGAAGATTCAGAGTCTAGATTACCAGAGGCTGACTTTCTTCAGATGTTAACTTTTTTAGATTTCAGATCTTCCATCAGAGCCAAAGTCTTCAAAAGTGATCTTCAGATCTAGATTATGAACTCCAGATTCATAATCGTCAAGTTGTTCTTGCATACTTAAACAATGTTAGAATACCCAATTGTTCTTTAAATACTTTTTTATCATTAAAACCCAAGGGATATGGTATTAACCAATTTTGTCCCAACACTGAGCACTTGTCATCACCCAAAAATATCCAACACATCCAAATGATTTTGCCTTTTGGCTTTCACCTTCAAACTTTCTTTTAAATGAAAAATGTTTCTTCTTGAGACGATGCAAAATAACGCTTCATCCACATATGTATAAGTGAGATAATTTTTTATTTCTTGCAAATGTTGATATAGAAATCCATTATGTTGTGATGCAAACGCCCCTTCCTCTAAATTGTTTTGGGTAAGCAATATTTTCCGTTCAATTGCGGCAACAATAAATTTCGCTAAAATCGACCCACAAACAAATATTTTTTACCCAAAACTACATAGCCTTGAGTTCTCCATTGCACCTAGAGATATGAAGGAGGAAGATTCAAAGTCAGAACCCTAATGAAAAAAATACATTTTTAGTCATAATCTTTTTTATTTTAATATCTAGAAGAAAGTAAACATCTGAAAGCTAACACTCATGTGTGAAACTAATTAAATAGTTCTTGTTGAGTACAACGAATGTGGGAGGAGCTAATACCTTCCCTTTACTTAACTGACTCTCGAACCCGATTTGGTTGCGAAGACCATATAATTGTCATTCTTTTAAAGAGTTTTATCGATATTTTATCTTTCCCCTTTTAGGGAATAAATAAAGTTTGATGGCGACTCTGTTAGTCATTTCGTGGGCGTGCGATGCGCTTGCAAGTGTCATATTTTATTTTGAGATACGGAAACATGGTATTTATTTGCATGGTCTATGTTTCATAACATGTTCATCATCACCATCAGAGTGATATGCTGCATTGAGCTTTTATGCATATAACCTCTCAAGGAATCGAAACCTAGCATGACACCCTCAGTGGCTCCTAACTACTACAGGGCAACCCCTGAGTTAGCTCCTAGATAGGTAACCATCAACTTCGTTGGCTCATCTCTATTAATATTGGCATGGTCTAACAGTCTTTCCTTGATCATTAGAGGCGTTAGGCATGAGACATCGTCCAGTTTGATGGACATCTCATCATGTGAAAGATAAAAAGATGACATCTTTGAGTGTCATCTCTCTACAAACAAGGACAACATACCATGGTTAATCGTAACATAATCGATCTTGCACTAGTCTTACATCTCATATAGTTGCATCACATCTTGAAACCACTACTCATCAGGCTACGAAAGTCCCCTAATCTTTCAACCATGGTTGATGAATTTTAAAGTATCACGGTCCTGTAGAAAAATAAACGATCATAAAAAACTTCAAATATTATAACAAATGTGTTTCAAAGGATGAGTACATTTGAATTTTACCTCTTCGTTCCACACATTCCTAGAAACATGGTATGAATATAGAGGTAGCAACGATAAGTCAGACGAGCCTCATTTAAACCCCTAGGGTGCGTGGGGTGCTGCCTCGAGTGACTCAACATATATTTGTGGGTATCCAGGGTATCATAAGGTAACATCAACTTCATACAGGAAGACAAAGGAGGAGATGCATGAGCCCCAAAAGTTGACCCTTCTGCATCAACCAAACTAGAACCGGCAAGTGCCTACGATGGTCAAGCTCTTTCCCTCCGATCTGATGCATGTTGCACAATTATGTCGTGTCTCAATCTATCTTGCTTATTAGCCATAATGCCTATAATTAAATCACACAAGCATTATACATATGAAACACAATGAATAAAGTCAAACAATGCAGACAGAAAAGAAATCCAGAAATGCATCTCCGCATTCTGGAAAAACGTTGAAAAAATTCAGAGATGTAGCTCCATGATGTTCTACAACTCATAAATGAACGAAAATGACAGAAATGCAGTCCAATCCAACATCCAAGAAAATGCATTGGTTATTTAAACTACCTATCAAATGCATTGCTCATTTAAATAGTATATCTAAATCTATTACATAATCTAATGTTCAAATTCTACAAATGTGTGTGTATATATATATATATATATATATATATATATATATATATATATATATATATATATATATATATATATATATATATATATATATATATATATATATATATATATATATATATATATATATATATATATATATATATATATATATATATATATTGGAAGTGTATTGAATGAGTTTGAAAGTTTGTGAGTTATAGTTTGAGAGTTGAGATATTTTGAGAGTTTGGAGAGTTTGTGAGTTTTGAGAGTATTTTGAGAAGTGAGAAAACAAAAAAGACTCTGACAAGTATTTGATTAAAAATGAGTCCGAAGATGCATTTTTATAACTTACACAAAAATGTATTTCTTTAAAAAAAAAATACATGATCTTAGGGTCTACCACAAAAACGAATATAAATGAGGTGCGTTTGAAAATGCATTTCAAAATTTTAGAGGCAGTTTTGATTTTTTATTTGGGTGGAAAATAAATGCTTAATATGAAAAAAAAATGATTCCCATATTTTATTAGATTTGACGGAGCAACCCAAATGATCTAACCGATTTTTACAGCTCTAACTTCGTAATGGAAATAATTCAGGAAGTTTTTCTTTTTTCTTTTTTATTTTTTTATAATATATGTAGATTCATTAATTAAATTAGTTTTTAGGATAAAGAAACTAATTTTTTTCTTTTATAAAGAATTTAGCTTTAAAACTCAAATATATTAAATATTAAAATAATTTTTTATTTTGATTTTTTTATAAATAAAATATTTTTTTCCGCAATTGTAGCAAGTAATTCTTTGAATCAAAGATAATGTTATATTTGACCCAATCTTAATAAGTGTTATAGAATGGCAGACAGTCCAATAAAAAAAGTACTCATTAATGCTTCAAAGCTAACAATTAGTTCGATCAAAAAAAGATCTTCTTCGTGAGGTCTAAAATACATTTATACTTTTCAAATTTTATTTTATTATTTTTGAATTTATTAATTAATTTGAACGTCGAAATCCTAATCTTTATATATCCATCTCCATGATACGTCGAAATTCTAATCTTACATATCCATTTCCATAATCTACCCTCTGGTAAATTTGCAACACTGCATCACATGTTCATCATCACAATTCTAATATAATTTTAGTTCCAATTCAAAACAATAAATATTTTTATAACATTGAAAATAATAAATACTTTTAGAAAATTGAAACCCATTCAATGTATTGGTAGTACTTTCTATTTGGAAAGGACTATACTATAAGAAAATAGTTGTTGGTAGAATATAGAAAAGTAGAATACTTTCTCTCAAAAGATAATACTATTAAATCATTTTTAATGTGTAAAAAAATCATTTTTAATAAAATGTTTCTATTTAAAATTCCTGAATTAATATTTTCTTAATATTTAAATTAGCACTTATCTTCAGAAATAATGAATCCAATTCACATTTTAGCTTCATTATTATTTATTTAACATTTTAACAAATTTGATATGCATGAAAACTATATATATATATATATATATATATATATATATATATATATATATATATATATATATATATATATATATATATATATATATATATATATATATATATATATATATATATATATATATATATATATATATATATATATATATATATGAAAATGCGTGGTTGAGACACATATTTTTGATAAACATCAAAACGCACTGTTTTTGGATTATGAGGCTCACATTAGCGAGTTCAGTGCTGGAAAATTCGAGATCCTATAACAAGAGGGTTTGGTTTCTCTGTCATCATCTTGCTCTCTGTCTCAAAACCAGCCTCTATAATTCAAACATAAAGTAACTCTCGCAATTTCCAAGAACCTTCCTTTACCCATTTCAGCCCCACACTCAAACTTCACCCTTTCATTTTCAAACCACCTTTCATAACAAACAACAATAATAATAATAATATCGTAAACCCAAATCCGAACTCTCTTGTCTTGTCTCGTTCAAATGGGTGGTACCGTTTCAACTCCTCAGACACATAAGTTTCCAGTTCCAACATTGGAAACCAGTGGCACTCCTCTTCGGCCGTCGAAGCTTCTAGTTAATGTTACTATCGAGAACACGTTGGGCGCAATTCAGGTGCTCATGTCGCCGGAAAATACCGTCGGCGATTTAGTAAAAGTAGCATTGGTGACTTACGATAAGGAGAAGAGAAGACCGCTGTTGAAAGACACCGATCCAAAACACTACCAACTTCACTATTCTCCTTACACCCTCCAAAGTAATCGATCATTAACCTTAATTTTCTTATTTGTTTTGTTACATTTTAATTTATGTTTGTGTTTTTGTTGTTTCGGTGAGACAGTTTTTGAGATGGTGCAGGTTTGAAGGAAAATGAGAAATTGAAGAACTTGGGCTCAAGGAATTTCTTTCTATGCTCAAATTAAGTCTTCTATCTGTTCATTCTACAGAGCATGTGAGATTTGATTGAAGATTTTGTTCACATTTTTTGGATTTATGCCATGATTAAGAGTTTAAGGTTGTGGTTCTTGGAATCTGGATCGGCCACGAGGAACATTGCATATTCGTTGATTCAATGTATGATTGAACATTTTTAAGAGACAAAATCTCATGTATGTTGTGAAAGGGTAACGTGAAATGAAAATAATACAGGTTGGATTTTTTAGCTACACTTTTTTTTTTTTTTTCAATTTTAGTTGTTACTGTGCTATTTATTTATGACTTTGGGCAAATTATATTGAAATTATTACCATTGTTTATTAAAAATATATTTGTTTTAGGGTAAGAATTCAATTTGATCTAAAAAAAGCTGCGAAATTCAATTTTGTATTGAAAAAAATAAAAGTTAATTTTTAAAATCTAGAGAATAAATCGTGACAAATTTTTACCTTTAAAATGATGTTTGTTTACTCTCATATAAGAAGTTTCATATTTGATAAAAGAATAGATTAGGGCGTCCTAACCTAAACAATGAATTCACTAAGACGAAATAACTTCTCTTAATAAAAGGGGAGGGGTTAAGATCACATTCAGAAGGTAAAAACTCTAGGCGACACAGACTCGTATAAATATCATCCTCTCAAGGGTATAAGAGATTTTCAAGTCATACACACCACTATTCAGGGAGCACTACGTTTTTAGTAACTTTAATGCGCCATCAACCTAACTGCTCGCCAGCAATCCTGTAGAGTCGGCCACAAAGATTGTCTTTCAATTCACGTGAGTTGATCCTTAATTAGCCTACAAAATCACCATATAAGGCTTCTCGCTGCTATGAACAAACCTTTACAATACGAATTATAATACAACTACTAAGGTCTTTGAGTTCCTCCTGCCATTGTAGAGGGAACACACACATTGTACCTTTTGACAAGTACAGTGGAGTCCACCGTGAGGTCCCGGTAAAACTAACATGGGCCATATCTTCTTTCGTCACCATCACCCTTCCCCTTTTTGCCTTTCATTCCTACACCTAATCACTTTTATGCATGGTTTCTAGGAGAGCTTCATCCCCTACACCAAAAGGCACCAGTGGTAGCAGTGATGTCGATCCCATAACAGAGATGCGTGCTGCCATGGACGAACTACGACACCATAACCAGACGTTGGAGGACGACGTCTACATTATCAGACAACGTCGACAGGAGGGCAACCCACCAAAGGAGGTAGAATCGTTAAACCCCTAACTGTACTCTGACAAACTATGAAGAGCTTGTTCTTGAAGGTTTCAAACCTTCCTCCTTAGCCGAGTTTAACCGACGCAACGATCCCTACGAACACGTAGCTTCCATCAACATGCAGATGTCCATTATAGGAGCAATGAATTCTCTTAAGTGGAAGTTATTATCAACGTAAATCGTCTACTTCTGGGATATGTCGGTCGAGGGTTTCGGGGTGGTCATCTCCGCAACAAAGTCGGCTAGTACTTGAAGTGGATGCCATCCTCCGTGACATGCCCGTGGCTCCTGTGCAAATGGCAGTACTTGGACTTGTCGACATTTGGCTTAGGGGGTGTCGGCTTTGGGAAGCAAACACCTCCTCGTTGGAACTCCGAGTTGATGCACTCGTGTGAAGCTATGAGTAGCGTGTACTCAATGAACTGGCCTGCTAGCCCCTCTATTTCTCGGGTGTCTCGGGGCCGGTCTTCTCTTCTTCTTTTCCCGCCTCGTCGGGGAGCGGTGGAATCCTTGTGCCTGGAGCTCTTGGCACCCTCTTTATTCTGCGAGTCGCGGGCGCAGTGGGCGGCCTTTACCTCCTCATACTAGATGTATGCATGATCCTTATGGAGGAACGCATCTAAGGTGTTGGGTCTTTCAATGTCGACTACCTTAGCGAACTCGGTGCGAGGTCGTAGTCATCGCTCGATTAAAAATCTATTCATGTCGTCCGAAATGGATACCTAGACAGCTTCTCGGTTGAACCTCTTTATGTAATCCCGAAGATATTCATCTTTTCCCTGGATGATGGCTTCCAGGGATGCTTCTGTCTTCGGGTGGCACCGAGAAACGGTAAAGTGCCTGGAGAACTGCCTCTTCAGCTCCTTCCAGGAGATGATGTACTCGGTCGCGAAGCTCTTGTACCACACCATAGTACCCTTCCTTAGGGTAGTGCAGAAGAGCCTACACTTGATGGCTCCTTGGACGTTCCGGTAGTCGAGCATTGCATCAATGGTTTCAATGTGGTCGTTCAGGTCGGTCGTACCATCATATGTTGCCAAGGGCGGGGATTTTTCCATCCCGATTGGAAAGGGAGTCTCCATGATGGTCCTGGACAACGGTGTACACTAGTCGTCCTCATCGCTCTTGACAGGTGATCAAGATGAGGAAAGGTCACCTCGGTCGTTTCTGCTTCGTCAGGAGGACTTCTTGGCTGACTATTTGGATTCTCGATGTATCCGTCAACTTTATTCCTCTTATGAGTGAGGGAATGCCGCTCCTTCCAGGGAGGGGATCAGTCGCGCTTCTGGGTGGCCACGGGCTGAGGCCGTTCTAAGCGAGGGTAGCGTCCAGGATTTCGGGGAGAAGGGCTCTGAGAGTCGTCGTGTCGTGTCCTTCGTGGAGGAGGGGAGGGACTGTGAGAAATGAGACGACGATGTCTCCGCGGGGGAGAGCGTGATTGTCGCTCCTTCTCGAGTATCCATATCCGCTCATTCTGTTAGAAAACCATCAGATTTATCTGATTGATTGCCGCGAATAGGGCCATCGTGGTTAGGTCAGTGTTAAGCATCACAGGGATTGACTGGTAGACAACCGGGCTATCAAAGCGTCGAGCGGCGTTGAAGGCTACATCGTCCGAGGAGGGAGAGGCGGTGTGCTCGTCCGTAGGGTCGCCCTCTTCGACGTGAACAGTCATGTTGAGATCGTGACCGTCACCGTTGGTGAACAGAGTGAAGGCGGTTTCTGGAGTGTTGTCGTCAATGTCTGGGCTGACCATGACCAGCGGAGGTTGTAAACTGCTTCCGTTATTGGGTTTCTATAAGAGAAAGAACGGGGAAGCAAACGTTCCCACAGACGGCGCCACTGATCTTACCAGATCAGAAAAGGATCAATAGTTAGCAAGATGTCGTAAGCTCCTTCGTTCGCCGGTGATGGAGAAGAGCAGGGGGTGTACCTGGTGTAGAGAATAAAATACCTGACCCTCTAGGGGAAAATGTTATTTATAGTGTGCCCCCAGCGCTACGCCAACAGTCACTTTGCATTGGGCTGGATTATCAGGCCCAATACAAGTAACTTCCAGGATCTACGTACTTCCCCGTGATCTTCAGAAGGTGGAAGACCGATTCTTTAGGACACGAGTAGTTGCCGGATGACGTATCCCCGCATGGGGAACACGTGGATGAGGCGCATGAGCTCTTCCCGTGCTGGGTAGTGGTTTGCCCGATAACAGAGAGTAGTGAGCGTGCCCGACAAGAAGGAGGATTGGGTGTTACTGGGCCTCCCCAATGTAGCATTGGGTTGGGCCTGCCCGACTGTGGGACAGATACTGGCTTAGTCCAGAACAATATAAATATATATATATATATATATATATATATATATATATATATATATATATATATATATATATATATATATATATATATATATATATATATATATATATATATATATATATATATATATATATATATATATATATATATATATATATATATATATATATATATATATATATATATATATATATATATATATATATATATATATATATATATATATATATATATATATATATATATATATATATATATATATATATATATATATATATATATATATAATGGGGATCAACTTACTTTAAAAGTAAGTTTTTTACCACTTACTCCAAATCATAACTTTTGAATTAAATATAATCCAATGGTTAAATTAGTCTTTCACTTAATTGAGCATTATATTAGATTCAATTCAAAGACTATTATTTGCCGTAAGTATATATATATATATATATATATATATATATATATATATATATATATATATATATATATATATATATATATATATATATATATATATATATATATATATATATATATATATATATATATATATATATATATATATATATATATATATATATCACTACAAGAAATATTGCAATTTCCCACATGGTACTCACATCACTAAGTTAAAAATCATGTCACTAACCAAGATTTGCAATGTGGACAGAGGCCGTTGGAAAAGCAACTGTGAGAACTTTTTCCCACATGAAATTCACGTCGCTAATTAGTGACATGGAATTCACGACACAAACAACCAAATTAATTGAAAAAGTTCCCACGTGAAATTCACGCCACAAACAACCAAATTAATTGAAAAAGTTCCCACGTGAATTTCACATAAAAGTTCCCACGTGATTCTCATGTCACTAATTAGTGACATAGTTTTCGCGCCACAAATTCAAAGTTGTTTTAAATTTAGTGACTTGATTTTCACTTAAGTGATTAATTTAATAATATTTTTTTAAAATATTAATGAATACAACAAATTAATAAATACTAAAATATAAAAAATTATATGATTTTCGATTAATTTTTTTTAATAAATATAATTATTAAAAGATATAAATATTTAGCCACATTATATTCACGTCACAAACATAAAAAAAAAAGTGTCACGTAATATTCACGTCACAAACATAAATAATATTTTTAAAAAAATTATTCATCGTCACTACTAAATATAGCATCTTCATCTTCTTCATCATCTTGGATAGAATAATTTGATTGTGAGGCAAAAATTGTTTCATTTGTGCCTCCATGTCGAACTGTCGCTTCCTCATTTCCTCAATTTCAACATTTTGCATATTTCTCATTTCCTCCATTTCAGCCTTTAGCGTCGCCTCACGTGCCTCCACGTCTCGTCTCGCCTCAGATAGAGCTAACTCTCTCACTGTTGCCAATATTTCTCGTGTCAATTCTGTCGGA